CCCTGCACGGCGTGGCTGCGGTCACCACCCTCGCTGTCTCGCCGTCCCCAGGAGCCCTGTGTGGCCGCGCTGGCGCGGGTGGAGCGGACGGACTTCCTCTCCCCTGTGTGCATCGGCGAGGTGGCCAACGTCAGTGCCGAGATCACCTACACCTCCCGGCACTCCGTGGAGGTCCAGGTCAACGTCATGTCCGAAAACATTTTAACAGGTGGGTGGCTGCCGGCAGCCCTGTCCCAAAACTCCAGGAATAACTGTGATAAGGCAAGAGCTCGTGGCGTTGACCCCATCCTCCGCCCACTGTCACCGGCAGCACCGGGCAGAGGGGAGATCTTGCCTTTTAATTGAGAGTGCTGGGAACGGCAGGGAGGGTCGGCGCTGGGAAGGGAAGCCAAGCAGGCTCCCTGGGGATTATGGCTCCATTGATCATTTTTATGAAGAACAGAAAAATCCGCCGTTAGCTCCTCCTGCCTAATTTGCTGCCCGTGGCTGCCTTTGGCCTGAAAAAGGCCCTTTTCCTGCTGTTGCTGTGGCAACTGGCTCCACTTGCCAGGACGCCTTCCCAAAAGCGCATTGTCACATCTGCTCCGAGCCAAAGCCCGGCAGGAACCAGCAGGGCAGGGGGCTGCCTGGTGCCGGCAGCATTGCCAGCGTGCGGCCAACCCCGGACCGCAGCAGCACCGGCGGCAGACGAAGCGCTGCTGGCGTTGGCGCGGTCACCCTCTGCCCCCCTCTTCTCCAGGGGCGAAGAAGGTGACGAACAAGGCGACGCTGTGGTATGTGCCGCTGTCCCTGAAGAACGTGAACAAGGTCCTTGAGGTTCCCCCCATCCAGGTAGGATGGCTTGCTTTGCTCCCTGAAAACCGGAGCTCGCCCTCTCTGGGGGAACGGTGCTAACCTGGCCCCGTCAGCATCCCCGGCTGCGCCGGTGGCTTTGCCGACGCCGTTCTTACCAGCCTTTCCTTCCAGTACACAAGAAAGGAGCAGGAGGATGAGGGGAGGAAGCGTTACGAGGAGCAAAAGCTGGATCGGCTGGAAACTAAGCAGAGAAACGGCGACTTGATCTTCCCTGTCATCAACCCAGGTAACGTGGGCAGTGTGTGACCTGCGGAAATGTCCCAGCAGCGCTGGGAGGCCCAACTGGTCCCCGAGGCAACTCCAGCCGTCCCCGGGCACCTGTGGCTGTGAGTGCACACTCTGAAACACTGCACTGGGGATGGGGATGGGGATGGGAATTTGGAGCCACGGTGCGTGAATGGAGGGGGAGTCGGGTGGGCACCTGTGATCCCCTGCTGGGGCTGGAGGGTGGGATGCCCTCTTCCGAAACACGGTTCCTGCCACCACTCCTTGCATCCCTCGTGCGCTCCTGAGCACTGGGAGCTAGTTTTGCTCAGCACAGGGTAAACGCAAATGTTGGGCGAGGGTTTTGCACACTCTGCAGCTGCAGCCCCTCTCTGGAAGTCAGTCTTTTGGCAGAAGTTCATCGGCCACTGTTTGAAGGGGAGGATGAGCTATGGGGAGGAGCTGGGGTCACGCTCTCCCTGGGGGATTGCTGGGGATCTCTTTCCTACCGAAAGTGTTGCCCCGGCTTCTGGAAACACGGTGGCAGTGCTGACGGCGAGCCAAAGGCGCCGAGCGGCTGGCGGGGGGGACCAGCCGTGGTCCTCGGGCAGAGGCAGAGAGGTGGCGCGTGGGGATCATGGGGAGGTGATGTGGGATGAAAGTTGCTCAAATGCTTTTTTCCCCTCTGTTCTCCCTGCTCACAGATAGACAGACGAAAGGTAAGGCTCCGCGGGTGCTGCTGCGCGGGTATCCTCCCCGAGGAGGTGATGCCTGGTTTTTCCTGTGCTAAGCACCTTTAGCATCTCTCATTAGATGGAAAACTAAAATGCTCCCTGAGAGCAGTTTTCCTCTGCCGGCAGTCGGAGGGTGCGATTTCTGTCACCTGGATTTAGTGGCGAGTCAGATGTCACCAGCATGTGCCATGGCTGGGGGACGTGGGGGCTGAGGTCTTGACACGGGGGGGAAGCGTGGTCCTTTGGAGACACCGCTAAGCGGCAGGGTCGGGGAGATTCAGCTGTGGCTGGGGGGGTGGGGGCTGTGGCTGGGGGGTTGAGGAGGGAAAGTGTACAGCCATGTGCCCATCCAGTTCAATCCCGTTTGCTTTCGGGCTTTTTGAAAGCTTTAAAAGAAGAAACGAGCTGAGCTGGAATAAAATTGATGAGTGGGCATTAGAGGGAGGTGGCAGCCCGTCAGGTGGTGAATGGCCTCTGCTCTCGGGACTTCTCGGGCTGATTTAAACGCTGGCTTGAACATACTTCAGCTTTGCACAAGCCAGCCCCACATTTTCTTCCTTCACATGGCTTAAGACAGGGGCATACGGCGGTGTACGGGTGCTGGCCGAGCAGCTCTGATCTCCGCTTTGCTCTCCTTCTCCAACCAGAGCCACACACCGTTGGCTACAGCCAGTCCAGCCTGATCCACCTGGTGGGACCGTCGGACTGCACGCTGCTGGGCTTCGTGCACGGAGGTGAGTGAGTGCTGCCCTGTTCAACAGCTGGGTTGGTTTTTCCCCGGAGCAGAAGCACTGTTTGAGAGCAACTCGTGCATCTCGGTGTTTTCGGGAGGTGGGCTCTGCCTCTGAAGGCACGCAGGCCCATTTCCACAGTCTGTAAGGTTCAGTGTTGCTTCAGCTGAGACAAAAGCTTCGTCTTTTTCCATGCTTAAAAAAGGCTCCGAAAACTGACATACTCGAACTGTAAATCCTACAATTTTGTCATTGTCTCTTAAATTGCAAATCTCAGATTATAAACACCCAACGTACAATGACTGCAATTTGCTGGAGCAATTTCGTCTTGGCTGGGAGTGCCCATCGCCTGCCGGTCGGGCAGGGCAGGGCAGGGCAGACGCGTGTTTGCCAAGGGCTGGGATGCCGCTGGATGCCGCTCCTCATCTAATTGCATCCTTAAAGGAAAAACAAAACAACGTGGCTCACAGCTCTTTCCAAGCAGGAGGTTTGGGGGAGTGATGCTGCCTTGCAAGGCTGAGGTTTGCTCAGAGAAATTTGGGAGAGCCAGAGCTTAAGCCCAGGTCTGTGAGGATGTCACCCTGATGGTACTCTTGACAGCAGGCTTCATGCTGGTACCGGGGGTTTCCCGCAGCTGGCATTCAGTCTCTGGACTGACTCCTCGGCGTAGCTTTGGTTGTGCAAAGCCCTTACTGACCTACCCGTGCTTTTTCCCAAATCCCACCGGCTTCCCTGAGACAAGGACCCTCTACCTCTGCCCCCCAGGTGTCACCATGAAGCTCATGGACGAGGTCGCCGGGATTGTGGCCGCCCGCCACTGCAAGACCAACATCGTCACCGCCTCAGTGGACGCCATCAACTTCCATGAGAAGATCAAAAAAGGTACCGGGGGGTGGTGGCGGGCACTTTGCTCTCCCATGGTGCCACGTCCTGGCTCCCTTGGGTGCGCACTCGGGACACACTGGCAGAGAAATTTAGCCCCCGTTAGACTTGTCCTGTGCCAAGAAGCACCGCTTAAGACATGGCTTAAGCATAAAACACGTGGGACCCCTTGCTCCCTTCCTCTGAGCAGAAGCAGGGGCTGCCTGCTTAACCGGCCCCTCTCTGCTTCGCAGGCAGCGTCATCACCATTTCGGGGCGCATGACCTTCACGAGCAATAAATCCATGGAAATCGAAGTCTTTGTGGATGCCGACCCATTCGTGGACGAGCCTCGGGAGCGGTACCGTGCTGTCAGCGCCTTCTTCACCTACGTCTCCCTGAGCAAGGAGGGGAAGCCCCTGCCTGTCCCGCAGCTGCTGGTAAGAACTCTCCCCACCGGGCTGCAAGCCAGCTGGGCCAGCCCCTCTCCTGCTCCTCCCGGGGCAGACCCCCGCCGGCTTTTTTGTCCAACAAATCCTCTTCCCTTGAATTATTCAGCAGAAAAATATGAGCATGAATGAGCCTTTCCAGAGCAGACTTCAGGGGGGTTTTTTGTTTGGTTTTTTTTTTAAGTTTCTTCTGAAAATTGCCGATGTGGAGATTGGTTTTTTTTTCCTTTCTCGCGGATGAGGACAGGCTGCATGCAAGCTCTGCAGCTTCCCCTCCTGCCCGCGCTGGAGGTGCACGGGAGGGGACCCTGAGCGGCGACGGAGGCCCCCGTGTCCCCTGTCCCATCACCGCCTCAGCCCTCCTGCCTATTTTTAGCTCTCCTGAACCCAGCAGGGTTTTGCTGACACAGTGCTGTTGACTGGGGGCTGTTTCTTGATTAATAGTTCATCCCGCGCAGGTCTCCTCCTGCTCTGTGCAGGAGTACATTAGCTGTCAAAACACCTATTTCACGGAGCGCAGGTTTTCCTTTACATTTCCTGTAAGGGGAGGCGCGTTTCCCTCCTGCACACGTTTGCAAGGTGCGGCATGGGAGAGCTGCGCTGCCCCGTGGCAGCTAACGCCGGTGGCTTCGCTTTCTTTGTGTCGCCGGCAGACGGAGACGGAGGATGAGAAGCGGCGCTTTGAGGAAGGGAAGGGCAGGTACCTCCAGACGAAAGCCAAGCGTCAGGCGCAGATGCAGCAGGCTGCCCGGCAGTGATCCCGCACCGCGCTCTCGCAGCCTTCGCCTGCCAAACGTCCAGGTTCCCGTTAGTGTCGTGTCCGGTCCGCGCCGGGCCTCGCCCCTTCGCCTGCCCCAGCCTGCCGCCGGAGCTGCTGCGGCGGCGTGGTTGCTTCGCTGCTGATTGGTTTAGCGCCGTAGACCTTGTGCTTTAGGTGGCTTAAGTGCCCCGAAAGCCTCCGGGAGCCTTCCCGGTCACACGCCATTCGCCTCTGGAGCCCTGTTTTCACCGTTCGATCCCGTAAGCGAAGCTCCCGCCCGTGCCGGAGCGGGGCAGAGGTGCGTGGCGGCACGAGGGACGCACGAGGCCACGAGTCTTTGTGATGCTGTGTTAAACTTGCCAGTATGTCCTAAAACTGCACACCAAAGCTTACGTACGATACTCGCGATGAGAAACGCGCCCCGGTATCGTACTGAATGTCTCAAGACTGTTTCGTTGACATCTCTAGGTAGTTTCTCTGTGCACATCTAAGTTATTTAAGGAATCCTGTGGCATAAATAAAGTCTGTTGTTGTTGACTGAACTCAGACGGGTGTCGCTTTTTTTTTTTTTTTTTTTTTTTCTCGTCCACGCTTCTGTCAAAAAATGTCACTGAGGATTATAACACCCTTTGACTTAGGTTATTCTTCCTTCTTTTACACCAAAATAAGTCTCCTCTTTCCCACTTTGTTTTGCAAATGGAATTAGAAGAACTCATTGGCAGCTTTTTATTTTTGCCACGCAAAACCCAGATTTTCAGAAGCGCAGTCACATTTCTGTGGTTTTGGGGGCAAAAACCTTGTCACCTCTAGGATGTCCATAGCATCCCCAGCTGCTTGTAGAAAGCATGCTGTAATAAAGGAGATCAAAATATTTTTCATGAAAGCGTAGCATTTTGCGTTCTGGAAAACTACAAGAAAAAATTTCCCTGTGTCCCTCCCTGCTTTCTTTTAAGCCTTAATTTAGCAACTACTGTTCAGTTAATCAGGCGTCAGTACTTTCCTACTGCATTTAAGAGAACATCGTTACCTAAGAATTTGCTTTGCTTTACATTTAATCAAAAGTGATAGTCGTTTAATGGGTTTCTGCTTTGTGGTAAATGGGAAGAATCCTGTAAACCTAGGGGACTCCCAGTGTGTGTACATCTGAAGTTAGGATCCTCTAATTACACAGACTAATTCAGTGGCTTTTTAAATGTTCTTCTGAGCTGTGCTGTGTCATTATGGTGTTCTTGTTGATTCCGTTTTTTTAAATATACAGTACCAAAATGCTGTCCACTTCTCACAGAGAACAGTTTTTCACTATAATGTTACTAAATGAAAGCTACTTCTTGGCTAATTGTCTGCAGTGTTTGCTACAATACACACACGAACAAGTATTGTGAATGCTACACTCGGGCATCTATATTCATGCCTTTTTTCTTTTTTTTTCTTTTTTTAATCACCTGTTGTTAGTGGACCTGTTAGACCTGAACATAACAAGTGAAGTTTTCAAACAGCACAAGTTGAGTCAAAATGACCAGTTGATTGGTGTCCAGGATGTGATCAGCTGTCTCACTACCGTCTACAGTGGACTTGAAGAGAAACACAAAGATATGGTGAATGTTCCTCTCTGTGTAGACATGTGTCTTAACTGGCTACTCAATGTGTATGATAGGTAAGTAACAAGTCTTTATTCACAGTGCGTACCCCAGGAATTTAATGTAGTATTAAAAAAGTATAAACCATGGAGACAGAATTGGTAATTTTTGCACGTGACATCAAAAATGCTAGACTTACAGGACTGTTGTATATTTTTTCTGAGTGAGTTTCTTGAGGAAGTGTCCATGATAATACAAAAACGATAAAGTCTTAAGAAGTTCTTTAATAAAAAGTTAGATCTTTTGATATTTTTGTCTCAGTAATGAAAGTGCAGTTGCTTGCAATGAGATGGTTCTTACGCTGTCCTGCTCAGACACACTGATCTAACGTTACGCTGCTTTTATACTACTACCAAAGAAACACTGAAAGGATTTCAAAAAATGTATATGTGAGAAGAGAACAGGATACGCTGCTTTAGCTGCGCTCCTACGGTAAATGTTCCAAATTGCCCAGATTGTTTGCCATTCGTACCAGATCCTATTTCTGCCACAGGGGGGGACAGTTTTGTTATTTATTTTATACTTAGTTACTTGCATGCCGTAATCCTGGCTGAGCTCCCTGTGCTGAATCCTCTGTCGAGTGGTGGTGGTTCTGACCCCAGTGCTCAAGCCTGTCTGATTCTGGAGGTTCAGCGGTGTCCTGGTCCTGGCTCACTTCCAGCAGGTGCAGCTCCTGCCTTGTATCAATTCTGAGTGCTGGTGCTATGTGATCCACCTGCCCTGGTCCTGGCAGCAAAGATGTATTTCCCTGGTGGATTGTGAGTTTGCCTCAAGAATGTTTCAGGTTGCTTACAGTAAGAACTTGTGGGTTGATTTAAATGCACGTCTGCTATTTCGAGAGAGAGCACTGAGCCTCGGGGGACATGAAAAAGTTCACCCCAGCAGCCCCTTGTGGTTTTGGCCAGTCCTTTCTGAGCCCTCAGACACTTCTTTCTTCTGCTGAATGTCGAACTCTGACCTCTCTGCCCTGCCCTTACAAAGAACGATGCTTCAGTTACAGCTGGACGTCGTCTTGTGACCTGGAACAAAATCCCATCGGCAAAAACTGTAGCTGTTTGCCCAGTCTGGGCTGCTTCCTTTTTTTGGGAGAGGGGAGACGTTCTCCTTCCCCACTTCATAACGGCAACGCAGGCTGCGGAGCTCCCCGCGTCCGGCCCGAGTTCGTCCGCTTGGCTGTGCTTTACGTCGGCTTTTACCCCGGCTTTACACCGTAAAGCCGGGCTCTGCCTCGGTGCCGGGTTCCCCGTAGGGCGATCCGCTGCGAGGACATACAGACTCTGCGTCGGGGGTGACTCTGTGGCAGGGGACGCTATTTTTATTTTTTTGGTGGCGGGATGGCAGCGCACGGAACGCTGGCCGTGTTTTACACGGTGTCGTGCTTTGAGATGGGGGGGAAGGCCCACCCGACCCAACCCCCCCGCGACCCCCGCACCGCGAGCGTGATCTGTGCAAACCTGTTGTGACCCGTCCTTATTCACTTGCAGAGCTGAAGCAGATCACCTGGCTGAGTACTGTAGGGTTGTTGATGGTGATCTTTGGGGATTGTCTGAGGAAAGCGGCCATGCTCACAGCTGGCTCCAACTTCAACCATATTGTTCAGAATGAGAAATCGGATACTCATACTTTGGTGACAAGTGGGGTGTATGGGTGGTTCCGGCACCCGTCTTACGTGGGATGGTTTTACTGGAGTATTGGAACACAGGTACCGTATACAACGTGCTCAGATACTTTCGTCTTATAACCTGGGTCTTTCTTCTTAATGCTGCCCCACACCCGTAACGGGATGCAAACCGCCGGCACTCAGTGGCAGGGGGGGGCCGGGCATGGGTTTTGACGCCTCCTCCCTCCCACTGGCACGCAGGGGGGGAGGAGCGCTCTGCCCTGCGCGATCTTTGGGGAGACCCCATTGTCTTAATTTTCTGTGTGGAATAAGCAGGGGCGGCAGGGCCGGGGTTTGAGCCAGAACGCCCTCGGAGGCTCGGGGTGCGATCTACTGCTGGCCTAAAGCTGGTGTCCAGAGTTTCCTTGCATTCCTACGGCCAAAATGCCTTCCGTAAGCAGTCGGACTCAACCTCGCTCCTGCCAAATACCAGTCCTGTGCTGGATGGCAGAACACTCCCTCTAAGAGTGTCCAGGGCCCCGGCCAGGGGGTAGACTGGAAGCCAGCTGCGGTCAAGCTGTAACTCGGCGCTGCCTTAGTCGCGCTTTTCTCGTGGTTGGCTGGTGGTTGGCATTTGGTTTTATTTCTCTGGAGAGAGACTGTAAAGACTGCATGTGGGGCAGCGCGGCCACGCACGGGCTTTCCAGAGCCGGGACGCCGCTCTTAGCTGCCAGCGGGAGCAGGCAGCTGCCTGCGGGCCGCTTTCTTCATAAGCACTAATTTCTCCCCAGAATGAAATTCCACAAAAGGTGCTGGGGTCTTTCCTTTTTGTTGGAGAGCATTTAGACCTCATGGCAAACTTAATGAAGGGTGATTAGCACGTGGGGGCGGGGGGCAGCCTTGGTTTCTTTGGGAGGCGACGGGACGCTAACCGCCGGTGTCTGTTCGCAGGTGTTACTCTGCAATCCCATCTGCGTGGTGGGCTACGCGCTGGCGTCCTGGCGCTTCTTCAGGGAGCGGATCGAGGAGGAGGAGATCACACTCATTCACTTCTTTGGAGAGGAGTACCTGGAGTACAAAAGGAAGGTGCCATCGGGTCTCCCTTTTATTAAAGGAGTCAAAGTGGAACTGTAATGCAGGCGAAAACCGGACTGGCTGAGCGAACACCCAGCTGCAGGCGCTGTGGGGCGAGGGATGGTGCCGGGAGTAGCCCGTTGGTATTTCCTGGCCGCCCAGGAGGAGCTGGCGAAGGGCTGCGGAGCTGGGTGGCCTGCCGGGTCACTAGCAGATAAGAAGCTTGTTCGTCCTCCTCGAGATAAGTCTTTCATTGCACATTCAGGGATCTTCCAGATAACTTAGCCTGTAGTGACCCTAAAGAGAATCGAACCCTCTTGCCTGCAACAGCTGAATTGTACTGAAACGCCTCCGCACCGATTCTTCTGGAGAAGAGCTCTGCCCCCGTGCAGGACGGCACCGGTCAGCGGGTTGTTCCTATGGCGTAACTCGATTTTAAAGCTTTTTGACCTTGCAAGCCAGGCAGCGCGGCTTTAATCTCTTCAGGCCCGATTCTGCAAGCTGGCGCTCGGGCAGCTCACAGGAGCAGGCCCCCAGCTCTCTGCTCTTCAGGTGCAGGGCTGCCTACCCTCTGCTTGCCGGAGAGCCGGCAGCGCGGTACCAGTCGGTTCTCTCCCAGGCGTTAACGTTCACAGGGAGCCTTTCCCGCTCGCCTCATGCCGCTGGATTGCGAGCGCCTCTGTGAAACGTGGCAGGAGAGCGAGCCTCCTCCCTCCCCCCTCGGCTGCTGCCACGAGTTCGGGAGTCACCGTTTCAGCTGCCGCCTTCTCGAGCCTCCCCACCGCCACCTCTGTTCCCTCTTCCTGCTTCCAAATCATGCTGCTTCCTATCCTACCAGGCCGCCTCCGTCCTGCAGAGATCCCAGGATTTTGCGTTGGGAAAGAACCGCGGCTGCCGGGCTTGCCGAGGGCTTTAGCGCTCGAGATCCTTGCCTGCTTTTTTGGGTGAAACCTGGGATGTTGGCGTGACTAGGAGATGCTTTTAGGGAAATTCTCCAAACGGGGAAAAAAGTTTGGCTAGCTAACGCTATTTTAAACGTTACCATTTTGGAAATGGTTCCTACTCGAGCTTTGTGGTATAACTTATTCTGTTGTTATATACCAAAGAGGTTCACTGTTTTCTTGAGTTTTACATTATTCTTCCTAGCTGGAATGGAAACGAGTTGTCTGTCAGTTCACGCTTTGGGCTTGCGGTGTTCCTTGGTGAAGGTGCTGTGGTACGGCTCAGGAAAGGGGGCGCTGATGGAAATTGCTTTGGGTTTGGGTTTGTTTTTTTTTTATAAAAAACAAGAAAAAATATTGCCAACTTCTGTCTGGTGGTTATTTGGAGATCTCTTGAGGTGCCGGTGACATCACCAACACTGGAATCCTTACTTTTACAATTCCCAGTGGGTTTTCGGTACGATCCAGTGTTGCGTTGGAGCATGACTGCGGCTCGCAGTGACTCGCAGGGCTGCACAGCCGGAGACGGGGCAAATTCTCCGTCCCTCCTCGCTTAACCAATGCAGAGTCCTTCCTCTGCCAGGTTTGCTTTGTATTGCAGGGTGCGTTCTGCACGGAGCATCAGCTTAACGCCTTCGCTGGTCATTTGTCTTACACCAAGCGTGTTTTTAGCTTGGGGGAAAAGAGCAAATGTGAAAATATACCGGCCAGATAGCGCTGATTTCTCTGCGTAGTCACTCGTAGGCTCCTGCTCAGGCTTTTCTGTGCCTCCGACACCCGTCCTCGTGGAAGCTGCGACCTGCAACATGCCTCGGGCGAGTTAATTTTTAACTAATTGTTTTGTAGGCGGCAACGTTTCTGCTGTGAACTTGCACAAATGTACTTTGAAACAAACAAAACGATCGTCGCTTGGTTTTGACGTGAGCTGATGATGGAAACTAAGCTTTATTCTCAAGTTGTTCTTTGTAGTAAATGCACCTCGATCCTAATTTGCAAGAGGCTGCCAGCACTAGCTCTGACCCCGGTTCCAGCTGTGCGGCGGCAGGGTCTGCCCAAGGCGGGATGGGTTAGCACCAAAAGAAAGGGATAAACTTTGCCTTGAGCAAAGTCTTCAGAGTCCTCTCGGTGCTTTTGAGACCAGCAGCCTCTCTTAACCTTTTATTTTCCCGAATCCTGTGACTGGAAGCTTGGTGAGGAGACAGGAGCTCACCAGGCGCGGGGAAGGCGTCTGAATCTTTAGTGAGCAGCTGGAGTAAGCCGTCAAACCCTGCCCTCCTGCGCCACAGCAGTCGGTAAGTTTTTAAATGGCACGGATGCACAGGGGGCAGAGCGCCTCTTTCTAGTGCCCTGCCTGCGTTTTTGCCTCCGCTGCCTGTCGGCGGTGACCCTGCGGTGAGCTCCTGGCTCTACCCTACACCGGGAGGTTTTGGGTTTTTTTTTTCCCCATGTTTGCAAACTTTGTGGTTTTAAGAGCCGCTGGACACCCCGAGCTGGCAGGCCTTTTTTTGTCCAGAACCAAGCGGACATGTACACTTGCGCCCCTTTATTTCACTTCTAACACATGAGAGGGAGAGTATAAAGACAATTATTTTTTCAGACGAACAAAGCCGCCCGAAGGCAGGCTTTTGATACGCTGCAGCGCTGTGTGCCCAGGCTGTGTTTTCCTGCCTTCGCGTGCGGCACAAGGCGAGAGGAGCGAGTCGACAGCTGGGGCACGGCTTTTGCGCAGCGAGCGCCAAGCGGCTCCGCGCACTCGCTCGGTGTCGGGCTCTACGGTGCAAGCTCTTCCTGGGCGGCGCTCTCGGCCCCACTTTTCTGCTGTCCCCTGCAGCAGTCTTTGCTTTTCAGGGAGGGGGCTCCAGGGGCGTCGCTGGGCGCACAGCCCTCCCCCGGGCTGGC